GAAGTAATGATATGGGTTTTATAAAATATAGCTTTTCTCAAATATAGCACAAATATATCTGGAATCTACCATTAAATATCTTTAATGATTTTCCCCCAATGAGGCTTAGTATTAAGTAGCTTTATGTACATAAAGGTTTACATAAAATGTTATCCAGTACATCTCTGTTATAACAGATGATGTCATTAGTGACATTATTAATGAATCCTTTCATTTTTGTTTCGTGTTTTCCTCTGTTGTGTTTTAAATTTCTAGCTCTTTTAATAAATTATTATTACAGTGAAAATGATTTATCCTTTTCTGTCAGCGTTGCTTGTATGCATTAGTACTGAGACTAAAATATACTCTATTTTCGTCTTGTGTTTCGAACATGTAAATAAAAAGTAAAATTAATGAATAGCTTTTAAAACTACACTGAAGACACTGAGAAGTGAGATGAAGTATAAACCAATAATTAATAATCAAACAAGTTTATAATAATTTACTGATGAGTAATTATACCCCGTTTAATGCTATTTGATCATAATTAACCTCAACACACATACGCACATGTGATTTTTAAACTTCTTTAATGTTGTCTAATTTATAGCTCTGCGCATGCGTACACCGATACCGGAAAGCGTCACGAGACGTCGTGCTTTACCTATCGCTATGGAGTAGTTACGACAACTATGCTAGCTGACTGCTTCTGAATGCAGTGTACGTGCGCGCGCGTGTGTGTTACCCACGTGGCTAATGAATTACGGCGGTTTCTGCGTCCTCATTGGTCCGCAGGTGATTATCGGGATTGGCTGTAAGCTACTTTTGCGGAAAGGTAAACGGAACCTTCCCCGGAGAGTCCACACTTCTGAGCGTTGTGTTCAAAACTTGGCAACAAATATGAGCTAAACGAAACTCTGAACAAAACTCAAAGCAGCCGGACTTCAGCAGACATGGTGGAGGTATTTTCCGGACGCACACTCCTGAACAAGGACGGAGAGTTTGTGGATCCTGAAGAGGCTCTGCGGAACAAGGTGGTGGGGATCTACTTCTCCGCGGGATGGTGCCCGCCGTGTCGGGACTTTACCCCAATCCTGTGTGACTTCTACACGGAGCTGGTGGAGGAGAGGGATCCTCCGGCTCAGTTTGAAATAGTTTTTGTGTCTTCTGACAAGTCAGCCGATGACATGGTTGAATATTACCACGACATGCACGGAGACTGGCTCGCTCTGCCTTGGACGGATGATTACAAAAAGTGAGTTTCATAATCTAATATTTCACATTTGAACTCAACGTAACATAATCAGGTGTTTTATTTATCTTATACCTACACAGTGCAGTCTGTACAGTCTACTAGGCAGTGATCCAGCTTATGTAAAACGCTGATGCGCGTCACTGTCGAGGATTAGGTTTAAGCGACATCAAGTCCAGAGTGTTCTCTTCAAAGTGTCCTTTATTTGTTTATTTTGATTTCCAGATCACGTGATTTGAGTTATTGGAGGGTTGCGTGACTAAATCAAAGTCAGATCCGTACACCTGTGAGTGCAAACTTTTCTCTCAAACATTTTTTTCTTAAATAAAAGCAGTTATTTATTTATTACATAGCTACTTTAAAGTCGAGTATCAAGTTGTTCAGTTTCTAATCTTGGATGGAGTTGCAGCTATTCTGTTCATTTCTTTTTCTTCCCAAAGTTAAAACTGGACTCTTTGAATGTTCTGTTTAACCATACCAGTAGTGTGATTTAAATATATTCAGCAAAGCAGATGAGTATTGAAATAAAAACATCAAACATAAAAACATCCATGTGCCATTAAGTTAGCAGCATTTGAATGCTGTATCTAAGCAAAGTGAAGCTGTTTTTCTTATATTGTGTTTAGGTGTGTTGATTAATTGCAGCCAGTAATCCTCTTTTATTTGTAAAATTTGAATTTGTGAGATATCTGTAGCCACAGTTGCCATCAAACTGCGTTGTTATGTGCAAGAATCTCACATGTATTCATGGAAAACTATCAAGTGTATAATAGATTCTTTACAGTGGAAGAAGTGTCTTTTTCTAATAAAGGCGCTTCTTTGTCTTTTTGTCCTCTCGCAGTGAGTTGAAGCATCGCTACAAGATCACAGCAGTGCCCAAACTGGTGATCGTGAAGGAGAACGGCGACGTGATCACGGACAAGGGCAGGAAACAGATCCGAGACCGGGGCCTGGCCTGCTTCAGGTCCTGGTTGGACGCTGCTGAGATCTTTCAGAACTTCAAGGGTTAGGAAAATAGAGGGCCTAACGAAGCTAATAAAATCTTCCTGCTTTCCATTTCAGTGTAGCCGTCTGACAGGTCGCCAGATCACCAGATCACCGGACAGCTTATATTTCTGTTAGATGAAGATCTGCTTGTTTTTAATTAATCTTCTGCCCATTTTCCCGTCAGAGGTCAAACACCAGTAGTTAAAAATGCAATTTCAATGAAACATGAGAAAGGATAATCGTATTTAGATTCCAGTAATTCTTAAGAGCTGGTCTAATGATGGTTTTGCAGTTATTACTTGGGCGTAAGGAGTCAGTCTTGTAGTGTAGTGGCCATATAGTTGGAATAATGACACCGTCAGTGATTAGACTGGATTCATCCAGTTCTTTTTACCACTGGATGTGAAATAAAGGCTTGACTGCACAACCAAACCACGACGAGGGCAGCGCTCTTATTTTTACTCCCAATACCTGAAATGGTAAGAAATGGTAGCTGATGAAACACCTCTTTATCTATGGTAAAGAACAATTGTGAAGTAGTGGGAAAGAAACTTCTCAAATCGCAGATCTTCTGTCATCCTATGCATTAACGATAAACCCTCAGGCACGTCCGATAGAGAAATTGACCATTTCATGTGACTAATTCAAGCCAGCTGTTGCCGTTAAAGTACATGTATACAGTTAATGCGCTCTTCAAACATTTAGCCAGACTTTGCCTCTGTTAAATATATATTTTGTTTCTATATTACTCACCTTTGTACATAAATGTAGTTCTATCTCAAGCTGCCTGTATATTTTTATATTCTGTTTTTAATGAGTTGTTAAGATGGGCTATTATTAAAAATTTAATAGAAGAAAACTATTCTGTTTTAATTATGATTATTATTACTATTTTTTTTTTTCAAGGTTTGATTATGTGTTGTAGTGCTGAAGAGCTGTTTGATGAACAAACAGAGCGATTCCCTTTTGCCTCATTAAACTGTGGAAAGCCCACAGGATCTGTTTCCATCGTGCTGGCACATCTACACGCATGGTCCTAATTACCTGTTTCCCTCGTGTGCGCTGACACAGCTGTTATCACTTTGTGCACGAAGCATCCAACAGACCTGGTGAATAATGATGCGTGTGCGCGGGCCATCTTCTCCAGGTCTTGTCTGCTTCTTAAAAAGAAGACAAGACCAGAAGCTCAATTCTGAGATGAATGGAGTCGAGCATCGAGCGTCTCTTCAAGGACCTTCGTCAAATCTCAGAGGACTGTGCAGACCAAAAGATCTGAGTTTATTGATGCAAGTCTTCAAGGTAACATAACTCCAACTGCCACGTTAGATGGATTATTGATTGTTAAAATATACTGCAGTTTGCATCATTATTCCTCTGGGGAAAAGGATGAAGACGGTGCATTTCCACGGTGTGCCATGTGGTGTAGCTGCAACACCATTTATGAGCGTAGCGGGAAGACTGACGGTTCAGTTTTGTCTTATTAAAGGGTGTTTTCACATTTATCTGCTTATCGCGGTCAATTGATTTTTCATCCGAGTGGGAGAGATCTGAGTAATGTCTGAGTATTTATTGATTGTGTTGAGTTATTAAAAAGAGAGCCACCGGCATGGGACCCTATTTACCGCTGTTCGGTCGATTTATAAGGCAGTGCGGATGAATTTTATTCATTCATATAAAATCCTTATGTCCTGCGTGTAAAGGCCACTCATTTCCTGGTCCTCTAATGGCAACGAAAAGTAACTTTTCTTGTAGGCTACCCGTTAAAACATTTTGCAAGTAGCCAAGGATATACATCTAAGTGTGTAATTCCTTCAAGTTCAGAGGCAAACGCTGGACTCTTCTGTTTATTAGATATCTCTAGTTTCTACTTACTTGCTCATCCAAAATTGAATAAATAACTTGTATATTAATGCAGATTATGTTTCTAAAGTGTATCTGAGTACTTCGCCACCGCTGTGTATCGATACTCAACAAGAGAACTACATTTTTACTCCAAAGACAACAGTTTTTGCTCCGTGCCTGTCACATGATTTGGGTCCTCAGAGAGCCCCTCGGGTCACTTGTAGATGAAGATGTGGGCTACACATTTGGACTTCTTGTTGGCCTTACAAATGAAAGGCAGTAGTGTTTCCTGCTGCTGTAACGGTGTCTTGAGTAACAAGGCTGTCTTTATGAGAGGACCTTGAGGGAGGGAGGCGGAGAGCTGGGCGGACCGGCGGACCTGCACGGAGAGAGCGCATCGGGGTCAAGTTGATCACATTAGCTGTCTGACTTCCGCTCATAACCTTCAAAATAAAACGTGTTTAAAAATATATAT